TTTTTTTTTTTTTTTTTTTTTTTTTTCTGGGCTTTTTGTAGGGAGATTTAAAAAAAAATTGAAGCAGCAAATTGAATGCAAATACACTGTAAAAATAGTTCAATAACTAGGTTTTCTTTTATCTTCCTATTTTAGTGCAATTATCCAGAGAACCAGGATGGCTAGAAGGAACTCTAAATGGCAAGAGAGGACTTATTCCAGAAAACTATGTGCAATTTCTATAGCTCTCTGTATTGAACGCCCAGAAGGTGTACATGGTATCCATGAGTTTGTTATAGTCACTTCTCTTTGCTTTGGTGACTGTTTTTAGTCTGTGAAGAGCCTGATAATGGGATGAAGATACAAATCTGTTTAAAGACATACAATGTTGCCAAATAGGAATTACAAAGTTGTGACTCTTCAGGGTTTTTTAGGGGTGGGAGTGGAGAGGGGAGTAAGGGCTGGAGAAGTAGTTTTAATTTTATAAAGGGGGTTTTACATGTGTAAAGAACTATAGGAATATATTTGTTTGCAAAATATCTAGAATTTTAATTCAGTTTTGATTATCTCTGGCTCCGCTGTCAGCCGAAGAGTAGTTTTGTTGTCCAGGGTCTCACAAAGTTGAGGTTTTTTGGAACTGTATTTATTTCCACTGCTCAGTTGTATTAACTGAATCTCTTTCTGGTTCTGACAAGAGATTGGACAAAGAGGCTTTAATGCTGGTGACAGGATTTATTTTCTGAGAGGGAAGAAGCAGTAGGTGGACAACAGGTATCAGTAAGTAAAACCCATAAAGAAGGGCCCACGTGCAGATTTCCCATGTGCAGCTGCATTTGTATAATGTGTGTGGCTTCATTCAAAGTATTTTATCAAGATAAAATACGTGAACATGTACCCACTGGCTCCAGGACCTCCTGGGTTCACAATGTGCAGTTTTCACAGTAGTTTTCCCACTCCAAAAATCACTGTAAATAAAATAAAATTGTATTTGCTGTTTGTTTCGATAACTGTCTGTCAAGCAGAGTGTTGCAGAAAGCTGGTTATATAAACTATTAACTAAAATACACTTTTCTTAATTATTGGCAGCTGTGTGTGCAGAATCAGTAAATAGCAAGGCATTGCTTATTCTCAATAGGCAGGAGAGCGGGGAAGGAGAACATCCCTCACTGACAGCAGACGTCTTACTTGCAGATGTCTCGAACTACCATGAAAAACAGAACATACAGTGTTGTCCCTGCAGGTTGGGTTTGCAGCCCCACATCAGGGGCTGGCTGGGTGCCATTCTCCTCTCTCCCCTTATTGCAGGGTTTCCCTGCAACCCCTTCTCCGTGCCAGAAGACCTATGTACACGTCACTCTCTCAACCTCATACCACAGCTCTGGCTGGAGTTCTGTGTGGCCCTCCCTTCCCCTTCCTCTCGCTGTGCCTGCAGCCCATTACTCAGCCCTGTTCCTTCCCCCCCACCCTCCACTATTCTTCCTTTCTGTTCTCTCTGGGAAAGAAATTTGCATGGGTGTCTGCATGTACCCGTCTCCCCCTTCTGTGTTTTTCTTTTCACCAAAATCAATACCTTTTTGCCCACTGATGCCTAGAACATTTACCAGATAAAGGGGAATGCCATAAATGAGGTCTTTTTGCTCAAACAGTAATAATGTCCTGGAAGATAAGTAGCACTTATTTCACTCTAGTATGTTAGAGACAGTTCACTTGTGAACTCACTGCATTCATTTCACAGCCAGTCCATGACCTCCATAATATACCTCTCACATCCTGACTCTTCTGTTATCATCTTCAGCTGTTTTAAATCTTACCTTGTTTCCCTTCTTCTGTACCATGGGATATTGGAGTTCGTAAGAAGAGAGAAAATGTCACTGTTAGCAGATATGCTATACCTCATCTAAACCAACAAAGCTGAGAAGCACTCAAAACCAAATGCTGCACCAGTAAAATTCATTGGGAGTTATGCCCAGTGACTTCAAGAAAGATGAAGCTCTTCACCATGTAGTGTCAAGCTCTGGATTTCCTAATTGCATTGAGTAGTGTCTTCAAGTAGTCACATCTGTAGGCCTATTCGAGTAGTAACACATCAACCCATGTGCACAGTAAGGATATCATAATTTGGTTCTGCTGTAAACTGTGCCATATATCTCTCAGATCCCACAGCAATTTGTCCTTAACTTTTATGGTTTCCCTCCCTCAGAGAAAGTCTGTCTAAAAGAATATAAGAGTAGCACGATGATAAATAGATTGTAATAACAAATTGGGCTTCATAAATTTTTTTACAAGGCAAAAATGTTGCAGGTGTAGTAAGTTATAAGCCCTTTGAGGTAATGCAGTAAATTGTACATTCAATGGTTAATGCTCTCTTAGCTTTTTTTTTCTCTTTTTAAGTTTTAACTGAACACCATTAGTTGTTCGTTGCCCAGAACTGTAGAGATTCTCAGGATGATTCCACAAATGATCTCCAGATGGGGCAATGGTGGGCCAAGTTGGTGCAGCTCTCCAGATCCAAACGGCTCTTTTCCAAGCCATGAGGTTTTGTATATTTGTATTGCATCTGAGAGAGTGACTCTACCAGCCAGCTTTAAGGCAGTTCTTTCTGGAAGGTTATCAGCATATAGGTGTTATGACCAACACATTGGATGAGTTCTGCTGCCTGCTCTTTTCTGAGATCTGAGGAACAGTATGGTGGTACCTGAAAGCTACATCCCTCCTATGAAAGATATCACCCACAAAAATCCTTGCCTCAAAACACTGGAGTTGTTGGGATACTGTAGTGGAGAAGAGACGTTTTAATTTTTTTCTTTGCAGTATTCAGGAAATAATCCCACTGCTAACACTGAGCAATATATAGCAGCATCCTTCTTTCAAATATTTTCAGGTGGAAAGACAACATTTTGGTCAAGTGTTGTGTTCTCTGATCCTTGAGTAGGGACCAGTGGGATTGCAGCCATGCAGACTCACTTGTGGCCTACAGGAGTTGTTCAGTGTCACGTGCCTACGTTCTGAAGGCAGTACATTGCATTTATGACTACCACTATTCTCAGTGTTCCCGTTGGTATCAACTGGTGAAAGTGTCTGGAAGTATGGGGAGAATTGAATTCATTTTGTTTTTGAATAGCATAGAAGTGGGACCAGTAGACTGACAGCTCCTTGTCAATCAGCTAGGCTGTGGCAACTCTGAAAGTTACAAGCCTTGTCAGTTGTTCTCATCCTGTGAACAATAGACAAAAGGTTCAGTCAACCCAGCCTGATATTTTAGCCCAAAGTATATTTTGTCCTGCCCTGAGTTGTGTTCCTTTATTTCACTTCTCTACTTAGCTTAAACGGCTTAGTGAAACACAAAGGAAGCTGGCAAGACATTGTGGTGTCTCTCTTCCGCACATATCTATGACCCTATTTACTGCATTGCCTTCAGATCCCGAAAGGAGAACATGGAACGTCCTGAGCCTGCTGTTATCTCAGGCTCTTTGCTTTCAGTAGCCTTTGGGGGCCACATGGGACCCAAACAAGAGGAAGAGAGCATTACACCGTGCAGGGTAACTTAGCCAATTCCATTTTTCTTTCTCACGTCATCTTATCTTAGAGCAAGCATATGAGCCAGCCTTATTCTGATCTAGTTAGTAAGTTAATCAGGCTGCCTGTTGCTGCTAAGTATTCAGTTGTGGTGAATCTGCAGTTTAAGATGAAGCTTCTCACCTCAGCTTAGACTCTGATTAATGCTTAGAGAAACCTATGAAATATGGCTAGTGTGGTAGTCCAGCCCTCCCTTTCTTTATAGATATTTGTGGTGTACTGTATTCTTGACAGTCAGCACTATAACCAATTTTACTAGGCAATGTGGAGACGCGTGATACTGAAAGGGACAGAGTATATAAGAAAGCAGAGCTGCTTCTTATTCCTCCTATTACATTAATGTGCTTTACCTCCTTTCCTAGAACCATGGGACCTACCTATTATCTCTTTCTTGCCCTGTGCAATGGGATTAGAAAACTAGAGCAATGTTGACTTAGAGGGGAGGACAAGATCAGAGAATCAGCTATGGAGATGATCAACCTGCTGTCTTCCCTGACTAACTGTGCATAGCTGGTGTGCAAGGATTCTCCATGTATTATGCAGGTTAACACAACCTCTCAAGGCCTCTAACTCCCTTTACCCAGAAGTTTTGATATCAGGATGGTGTGTCACACATTCAACTTAACACCTATGGTAAAGTTACACATTACACTTAGACCAGCCTAAGAGCACCTAAAGCCTGAATGTCTGCATGGTAAAACTCTTCAACTCATGCTACGTGCTCTCTGAGAGTCCCAAAGTTATGCTACTTAAGGGGAGTCTTAATTATGGACTGTGCTGATAGCTCATGTTAGGGGAACTTCAGCCTTCTCCAAGGAAATTAAATGAGCAATTTGTAATCCTTCAGTATCCCAGGATGCATTGCCCATAGTCCCCTCGCCCTACCCTGCAAAGAGCCCAGCTGTCCTGACTCCTTAGCCACATTCCTGATCACTAGCCCCCTAATGCTAAGTTAGATTGGTGCAGACAAGCAACCGTATTAACCCTTAATGTGCGACTGCTCACAGCATGTTCTTTACTGCTTAACATTTTAAGTTAAGATTCAGTTTGGCCTAACATCCATACCAAGTATAGTTCAAACACAAGCCAATGCAAATTCAAGCAGTTTAGCATGTGTTAAGTGCCATCCTGGTGTTGAAAATTCGTTCCCTTTCAGGTGAGGGTTGTTTCCTAACACATACTAATTTTAATAGGTTACTACATTTTAATGATTTGCAACTGTTGCAAGTGAATGTGTGACAAGGCCCTTAGCTCTCTGGTAGGTTAAACTGGCTTCTGTGTTGGTTATACTTCAGCTCTGCCTCAGTCATTGCAACCTGATTCTTGTTCCTATTGTCTCCTCCCATTTCCCACAGCAAGTAATAGTCATGCTATTCCTTCCTGGTTTCTTTATCAGCTGAGCACAGGTCTCTGTTGACTTCTCCACTATGGCCAGGCTTTTCAGCACTGCAGCAGTTTTCACTTTCATTCAGAAAAGCCCCACTATTTGTTTTTAGCAGCAGGTTTCCTATACTGGTAATCTATTGTTGCAGCATGAGCACAGCTGGCACAGCTCCAACTAGAGTCCTAGCTGGAGTTTACTCTTTAGTTGGTGTGGGTGTATCTCTGAATTTTTGCAATTGGTGGGGGCTTTTTAAAGTTATTAGAGCAGTATACTTTGCAGGATGAAGTAACTGGGTAAGTGAATCTTTTAGGAAAATGAAGGTAGTTTTTATCTTACTTCAGAAGCTCTAGCATCCTGTTCAGATTGCCCTGCTCTTTTTTTCTTACTGGCAAGTAATGATGCCTGGACCATGAGACAGAGGCCTCAGCCTGCCTGCACCAAGTCATGATGGTAGAATTAGGATTCTAGCACCGTCTGGGTCTCTAGAAATGTTTGTGTGTACCTGTCATTGGGCTGCATTCAGCTCTGGTCCCCAGCAGACAGATTTTCACTCCGTTGTTTTTTAGAAGCCCTGTGTTTCTCTCAAGTTGCCGAGTAGCTTTAGACATTCTCCTCCCTTATAATCCTGGCAGATTTCCCTCCATTTTTTTTGTCTCCCGTGTATTCCCATGGATTAGAGGGCTTCCTTGCTGAACTGTCAGGACTGATCCACATGATCGCTGGAACTGAAATAATTCAGTAATACTTTTGGTTATTTCTGCCCAAGTCTGTGTATAGACATATTTTGGAATAAAGTTGCTCTTATTTTGATATAATACGTGTGTGTGTCTCTCTCTTTTTTTTCCTCCTTTTTTACTCATTTAAGCCACACTGAAGAATGACAGTTATTTTGGATTACACAGCCACATACAGAATAGAACTGAAACAGTTAAATGTTCATATTACAGTTCATCAAATTGTTCCTGTTCTGGTTAAATATTGTTGATCTGCCTGCAGTGTCACTCTGAGGATCATCACTATTGCACCTTGAAGATGACTTGG